CACGATCAGGAGTCTTGCTAACTTCTTAGACATGAGTTATGCCTACAAAGGTCTTTATTTCAGGATATGTGTTAGGCACTGTACATAATAATTCCTCACTGCAGCCTTATGAAGTAGGTATTATTATCTCCATATTATAGATGAGAAAATAAAGAGAGGTTCAGCATTTTACTGAAGGTCACACAGTGACTAAGCCATGGTGGGGCCAGGATTTGTCCTCAGGACTGTTTGATGCTAACATCCATGTATGGTCTTAATTACACAGGAAAAACGTGTGAAATCCTCAAACCTGTCAATGTTGAACAAGGGATTCATGGGTCCCATCACTACAAACTGTATTTGTTATATTAGAGTTCTTTTTTTTTTAAATTTCTTTTTCTTCCTTTTTTATTTTCAGAAATATCAAATTCTTTAAAAAGCAGCTGTTTTTGGTGTGAAAATAACACACTGTTCCCTTCCCTGTGCACACATGTGTGCAAATACACACCATCACCACCACTCTGAAACTCTTCTTACTGCATTTCCTCCGAGGTGGGTGAGAATGCTGAAAAATGAGAGAATTTGGGTGCTACCAACGCAGACACACATTGAACTTTCTCTCCTGGCTGGCTGCAAACACAATGTGCTATTTGTTATTCTCCTTAGTTCCCCAAGAAATAAGAGATGCCCTCAGCCAACAATCCATGTCTATTGAGGAAGAGTAGTTGTTTAGAGTTCTTAAACGTAAAACAAATTAATGAAGAAAATAAACACTTTTATCTAGCTAGAATGCCCACCTCTAAAGTAGAGATAAGGAGCCCTGGTGGCACAACGGTTAGGCGCTCGTCTGCTAACAGAAAGGTTGGTGGTTTGAACCCACACAGCAGCTCCACTAGAGAAAGACCTGGTGATCTGCTCCTGTAAAGATGACAGCATAGAAAACCCTGTAGGGCAGTTCTACTCTGTCACATGGGGTCGCTACGAGTCAAAAATCCACTTGATGGCACCACACAATGACAACAACAAAGTAAAGGGTTATCAAATGGTTAATATTGGTCCTTATGTTAGCAAGACATACAGTTCTCTGCAGATGGAAATTCTACATTAAAAGGTTGTGATGATGAAACAGGCTTAAAACACGTTTTACTCTTTCCTCTAGAAAGTTATGCTGAAAACAAACAATTCATAAAACAAAAATATACAAATGGCCTAACGTGAAAAACATTTTATCTCACTAGTAATCAAAGAAAGGTAAATTTAAACAATACTATGTCATCTACCAAGTTTGCAAAGAGTTTTTAAAATTTTAATAAAAATGATAATAAATACAGGTTTAGAAAAATGTGCAGTAATGTCCACTGCTGGCTCGGTGTGAACTATCACAGCTTTTCTAGAGGTAAAGGTATACACATTTGGACACACACTTCTTCTTTTAGAACTCTATTCTAAGGACGTAATTACAGATGAATATTATTCTTACACGATGCCTTATGTCTTATACACACTCCCACCCACCACAGTGACCAACCTACCTGCATCTGTTCTCATCCAGTCTGCCTTTCCCTGTAACTAGGAGTGAAGGACCCGCCGCTTGTGCACAGGATCCCATCCCTCTCACGGGGTCCAGCATAGCCCAGAAGTAATTCGCCTCTCTCTTGCACTGTAAAGTTTTTCTTTTCTACTTGATCATTTCCTTCATCATTCAAATATGCACATGTTAAAAGTTAAAGTCTATTCAAAAAACCCCTGCCTGACTCCTAATCTCCCCCTCTTCTTTACTGCCTCATTTCTCTGCTCCCTTTACCAGCATACTCCCCAAGCAAATCATCTAAATTAGCTGTCTCTAAGTTCTCTCCTCCCATTCCACCAGGACCCACTCCAGGCAGGCCTTGTGCCTGCTGCTTGACCATTTGGCAGTATCTGACACCATTGACCATTCTCTCTTCCTTGGATTCTGGAATACCTTTTAGTTATTCTCTTACATCACTGGCTGTTCCTTTACTAGATTCTCATCTTCTGAACTCTAAACATAAGGGTGCTCCAGGGCTCAGTCCTCAGGCCTCTTCCTCTTCGCTATACTCATTCTCCAGGTGATGTCATGAATTTAAGTACTATTTATACTGGTGAGGCCCAAATCTATATATTGAGCCTGGACTGTGCCCTCAAACTCCACTCATATATCTAGCTACCAACTTGACATCTTCTCTACTTGGTGTCTAATAATGTACTTTCTCAGGAAACTTAACATGTCCAAAACTCAAACTTGTTCCCCCTGCAGTCTTCCCTAACTCAGCAAATAGCAACTCCATCCACTAGCTGCTCAAGCAGAAAAGTTTTTTTTCTTTCTCTTGTACCTCATGTCTAATCCAACAACAAATCCTGTTGGCTCAACCTTCAAAATATGTACTGCATCTGACCTCCTCTCAATGCCACCATGAATACCACTATGACCCGAGCCACCATCATTTCTTACCTGGATTACTGTAATAGTCTCCTAACTACTCCTTCTGTTTCTATCTTTGACCCACTACAGTCTATTCTTAACATGATAGTCAGAGCAATCCTTTGAAAAACTACAATTTATTTAGCTACCTTGTGCCCTAGAGTTTTCTTTTTTAAAAAGTAGGGCACTTAAACGTTTGTTTTTAAAGTGAAATCTTATGGAAAATGCTCCCCAAAGTGAAAACAATTAAAAGTAGACTGAGAAAATGTTCCTCAAAGTGAAAAGAGATAAAAGTGGACTGAGTTGGTAGTAGGCAGAGATTCCAGCCCTGCCAAAGCAGTACTCCCTTCCTCATGCCTCTAAGGCACTTTGAAGAACGTAAAGGGTTTGAAAAACCACTGCTGTGTAACAACTTGTGAAGCTATTTCAGTTTTCTTAAAGGTCTCAAAAAATAGCATTCTTACAGAAGTTAGGGTTCATGAAAGTTCGATTTTAGCCTAACGACTTACTGATTTGCTGTAGAAACTTGTGTCTTATACACGAAGGGTCCTATTAAAAATCCTGGAGGAAAGGTGAAAATAGTCATTGGCAGCAAACAACTATGAGGTCTCAACAATACAACTCCTTCCCTGGGGCTGATTAAGCTTTACATAGAAATTATCCTAATATTTTCTTCTTGTTGAAACTCATCTTTCCTACTTTTTCACTGCAATAAAAAAAATTTTAAACAATGTATTCCTCTGATTATACGTTCAATACCAGGACCTATCTACTACCTATTCAGTGGCAAGAGAATACAATTGTTTCAGTTGGGAATTAAATGTGTTAATTTTTTTTAGAGAGGAAGAATGTATGTTATGGATTGAACTGTGTCCCCCAAAAGTTTGTGTCAACTTGGCTAGGCCATGATTCCCAGTATTGTGTGGTTGTCTACCATTTTGTGATCTGATGTGATTACCCCATGTGTTGTAAAACCTAACCTGCATGATGTTAATGACACAGGATTAGAGGTAGTTATGTTAATGAGGCAGGACTCAAACTACAGGATTAGGTTGTATTTTGAGTCAATCTCTTTTGAGATATGAAAGAGAGAATCGAACAGAGAGGAGAGGGACCTCCTACCACCAAGAAAGAAGAGTTGGGAGTGGAGTGCATCCTTTGGACCTGGGGTCCCTGTGCTGAGAAGCTCCTAGACCAGGGGAAGATTGATGACAGGACCTTCCCCCAGAGCTGACAGAGAGAGAAAGCCTTCCCCTGGAGCTGGCACCCTGAATTCAGACTTCTACCCTCCTAAACTGTGAGAGAATAAATTTCTGTTTGTTAAAGCCATCCACTTGTGGTACTTCTGTTATAGGAGCCTGCAGTGCGACTGATTACTTTTGTGTGTGGCCTTTCCAGCCGTGGTCTTGTAATTCCCACCCAGGTGACCATGTGATAGGGTAATTGTGGCCTACCAAGGGGATTGATCAGTTTTGCCTTACAAGACAGCCAATTCCAGAGCACAGAGGAGAGCCCACCACCACACAAAAAAAGAAGAGACCCGCAGCAGAGACCCACAGGAGATGGTGCAGTGGGCTTCCCAGTCCACGAAGTGAGAAAGCTGAGCGCCTCTGGGCAGAGACTGAGGGCCAGGGATAAGTCTATGCCTGACCCACGAATTTGGGACTTGCCAGCCTCCACAACCACATGAGCCATTTAATTGTACATGGTTCATGAGTTCTGTGAGACGTTGCAGCAAATTAGGGAACTGGAAGACAGGAGTGAGAGTACTGAGGCGAGAGGGAATAGTTGATGCTGTACCATCTAGTGATACAGCAGCTTAGAAAAGTTAGACATTTGGGACTTCTTTAACCTCCGCCTCATAGGAACCAGCTCTATGCTGATCCTTATAAAAGAAATTATTCGTTTACAGCCCTAGATAACTAAGACAGTGTACTAAGAGGAACAGAAAGAAACAAGGAATGCAAGGCTTCCCTAAAAGAGTCTAAATACCATGGATCTTAGGGAAATGTTGCTTTGATTGGACTCAGGAGACTTGATTCTGAGCCATATTAGTCACTGCTGATTGCCCATCAGTAGATAAGGGGCAATGCCTTCCCTCAATCTCACAGGGTGAACAATTGTCCTAGATTGCCTGGGAATTTCTCACTGTAGCACTGAAAGTCTTGGGTTTAGCAAAGTTACTGCTGTCCAATGTGGGGCAAGAGGGAGGAGGTAAGATAATTCAGAACATTTCATTAGTTTAGCTGAAAGAAATTTAAAGTTTCTATTATTACTAAACTGCTCTCTTTATTTTATGCCTGTATTAACTGATCCATGGTTACAACATGCGAAACAGTTCAAATACATTAAACACACCTTAAAAAGGCATGTTTTTACTTAAATGCTTATGGAAACTATTTAAATGTTGCTTCCCAATAATGAATCTTTTGAAAAATAAAAATGTTCCAGTTATCATACTGGAAATAAACGATTAGTCCCACAGGTATGTTACATATGGAAAGTAAGTCTTGTTTTGTTAAGACTATATATTTATGTATATCCATTTTCCTAAATTTTTGCGTTTTTAATATCTTACCTATTACAGAGGCTTTAAGCAGTTCAATTTTATCCTTAAGGCCTGCAGCTTTCAGATTGTCATGAGCCCCTAGTAATTGTGAGTCACTGACATCAGCACCTACATAATACACATCCTACAAGGAAAGAAATTCACATTTCAAGTATAAAGACAATTATTTTATGTAGTTAAAAAAATCTAGTTGCGTTTTTGTCAAATGATGAAAATGAGATTAATAGGTTTGTTAATTCAGGCTAAAACATATTTAGAATACTCCATTAAAATGACATTTAATAGCAAAAAAATCAAAAGTTTCATTAAAATTTTAAAATCTGTTAATATTTTACAATTAAAATAGCTAAGGAGTTGAGAGATTTGTATAAGCTAGGTCATGATGAATTACTGGAGTTCTGTCATACTTTCTAAATATACCAAAGTAGTCAAGGAAATAACAGTAATATAATTAGCCCCTCATTATCTATTTTGACTAAATAGCAAATCATATAATTAAAAATTACAATCTACTTATAAATGATATCTATATTAATGTATATCTATATATATATATTGCTTGGTTTACCAAATTTTAGAACTTACTGGCCATTCTTTAGCAGCTTCCAAAAGTATTGTTCCAAGTCCACACATTGGATCTAAAACAAGTGCACCAGCCTATAGACAGAAATATTGATGTAGGTTATTATTAAGTCTACCAAAGTAAGTTTTATAAAGAAACCTAAAACTTGAGGAATTAATATTTTAAGAGTAAAGTTTGCTTTTTACACCTTATTAGGAACTTTAGGTTGCTAAAGGCTTAAGGCAGGAGTATGCTTGGCATGTCTGCAGAATAGCAAGGAGGCCAGGGTGGCCAAAAGGAGGGAGAGGGAATGCAGTGGTAGTATCAGTGAGGAAACGAGGTGCTTCTGTCAAGATGAGCATGTAGTAAAATAACCCCTGAAATCTCAGAGGCTTAGAGCAACATGTAGCTCATGCTATATGCCCACAGTGAGTCATCTGGGCCCTCTGTTCCTCACTCTGGAACCCAAGATGATGAGTGGTCATCATCTGGATGGAACACTGCCATCACTGTGGCAGGGGGAAAGATGGCATGGTAAATTGTGTGCTGGCGCTTAATGCTGCCACCAGAAGTGGCATGTCACTCCACCATTTAACTGGATAATGCATGTCAGTCACATGGCCACACACAATTTCAAGGTGCCAGGGAAGTGTAATCCTACTTATATCTGAGAGGAGAACAAGAAATTTGGAGGGCAAAATTAATTACTCCCACTCTGGGCATTAGATCATGTTAGATCTTGGAGTTACAGTAAAGATTCTAGATTCTATCCTGAAGGAGATGGGAAACTAGTGAAGGATTTTGAGCAGAGGAGTAGCACATCATTACATTTCCAAGGGATCATTCTGGCTGCTCTGAGTGTTAACAGGGAGGCTTGTTAGGGTGTTCAGACAAGAGAAGATGGTGGCTTAAGTTAAGAGTGGTATTGGTGGTGGTGGTGCGAAGTGGCTGGATTCTAGGTATTTTTTGAAGGTGAAGTTAACAGGGTATGTTGATGGATTGGATGTGGAATGTGAAAGAAAGGCAATGGGCTGGGAGGACTTAAGTTTCTGACCTAAACGCAACTGCAAGAACAGAGCTGCCTGTTACTGAGATGGCTGGACAGGAGAAGCTTTAGGGGAGATAAGAATATAGTTCTAGATGTGTTAAGTTTGGAATCCTATTAGATTTCCAAGTATGGCTGTCAAGTGGGTCATTGGATATATGGGTCTGGAGTTCAGGGGACAGGCTGAGGCTATAGATATAAATTTAGGAACAGTTAGTGTTAAATCAATTTATAAACGGTATTTAAAACATCACAACTGAATGAGATCATCTAGGAAGCAAAAGAAGCTAAAAAAAGATAAGTCTAAGGATTGAGTCCTGGCATTCTCCGAAGTACAGATGTCTGGAAGATGAAGAATCAGCAAAGCGTACTGAGAAACAGCACATAGTGATGTAGGAGGAGAACCTAGAGAGAGTGGTGTTCCCAAAACAAAGTGAAAAAAACTCTTCCAAGGAGAAGGGTGATCACTGTGTCAAAGTGCTAACAGGCTAGTAAGATGAGGACAGAGACTGCCTACTGGATCTGGCAACATGGAAGCCACTGGTGATCCCGACAAGAGCAGTTTCAACAGAGTGATGGCAATGAAAGCCTGATGGAAGAGGGTACGAGAGAGCATGGGAGGAGAGGAAGCAGGGACAGCAAATGTAGACAATTTTAGGAGTTCTGATGTAAAGGGAAGCAGAGAAAGGGGGTGACAGTTGAAAGATAATGTGAGCTCAAGAGAGGACTTTTAGTTTTTAAATTGCAAGACATTATAGCAAGTGTGTATGTTGATGTGAATGGTCCAGTAGGGACAAAATTCTGTAATAGGACAGCAGGAATGTAATCCAGTATATAGTATTATAGCTGGTCATGGACTGGAACAAGGACAGTTCACTTACTGTGATGAGGATAAACTGGAATATGTAGGCACAGATTCTGATAGGCTGGTAGATTTGGTGATGAGAGCATACTGAAGTTCTCTTTTGTTTCTAATACTTAAATGAAGTAAGAAGCAAGAGAGTTGAAAGTATAGGTAAGGGAATGACTTCAAAGAGAGAAAACAAAATCCAAGCTGTGAACAAGTGATAAGGACAGGAGGCGAGTAATGGACAGTGGTCAATGACTGGTGGACCCCATGGGGGTCACAGAATTGTGTTAAGATACTAGAGGAAGGGGACAAGAAGTAGAGAAGGTGGTTAAGAGCAGGATTCTTAAAATTGAGAATTTTGGAAGAGATGCCCTTATATGGGTAATGATAAGGTCTAGGATATGACTAATGCAGATCATTAGAGGCCAGGAAGCCAAGGAACTAAGAGGCCAGGTTATTGATTGGATACTGGAATCATAAAGAATTATGACAGGATGACAGCCTTCACTCTTACAGGAATGGGAAGGAGATCTGTATATGACTGAGATAATCTGATGGTATGTGCTTCAACAAAGGCACTGAGAGGTTTTCAGCAAAAGGGAGGAAGAATGATCCAGAAGGGGCAATGTGGGGCAAGCAGGACATCTACCCCACCTTCAGGCCCAGTGGTACATGGGGTGTGGGAGAAAAAACTTCCATCACCTGATATGGCTACAGAGGAAGCAGAGTCCTCAGTGGACAGCCAGGAGTCAGTCAGAGCCATACAGTACCTAATGGAAGGAAACAAACGTTCTTCCGGAGAGAGAAACTTTCCCGTCATGAAATTCTAAGGAGAATATCATATGGATCCCTCACGAAGGGCATTAAATGACACAAGGAACAATAATTTAAATGGCAATTTTGTTTAAAATTAGTAATAGTATGAGAACTAATTTTTATTAAGAACTTAAAATGTACCAAACACTGAACTCTTCCTTTCCAATGGTCTATGTTCAATGTGTTCAATGAGGTGGTTCTGCCTTTAAAGTTCTGTCCTTACCTTAGGGCTTTTCTAGCCATGACATTTATGTACACAGGCAGAGTAGAGAGGTGTTTATTTCTGTATGCTTATAACACCAATTAAGAACTAAGAGAACATGATATTCCTCCTTACTTGTTATGATACGTTAGAAGGTGAATCATTTATAGAAAACATGAACAGTATCTAACCTCCCTATTTTTAAATGTCATTTTTAGTGGCAGTGGCCTACTCAAGGTGGAGCTATTTGGACACTGCTCTGGGTACAAAGCTCAAAAAAGACTGGATCAAGGCTGGATCCACTGGGAGTACTTACACTGTAGGGCATCACTGCATCCCTCCAAAACAACTCTGCTGTGCTACTTCTCATGGCTTTAACAGACCTCCTCTGCTGGTGGTCATATTTAGAGAAACATTTCTTACTCTTGGTTCTAGGAGGGCAAAGTGACAAAAAATTTTACTGAGCGTTATCTTGGTATATTTTTGACCATTTACTTCCGACCTTTCTTAAAAATGCACTTTTACATAAAGATAGCATTTCAAATCTGTACGTGATTAGATAAATTTATATTTAAATATAAACTGTGCTGAGACCACTGGTAGTTTGGAAAAAAACAAGATGTTACTATAACTCTCTCCTTACACTAAAGGAAATTCCAGATGGATTAAAGATGTAAATGCAAAAAAGAAATCATGGATTCTGGGAACATGGTAACCTGAAAGTAGCTGCCACCTCCTCTTCTCCTAACTCCTGGCTACTTACTTCATCTGAGCCAAGTAATGCTCAGATCTAGAACAATTGGTGCTAAGAGGGGCCTTGTGCTTTGCTGGTGTCTCAGGAGAAAGAACTCGTAGGGAGCCTCCTTGCAGTGGACTGGGTAAGTGATTAGCAAACAGTACTAGAGCCCAGAGGGGAGAACCAATGGATCCAGGGAAAATTTTAGTCTTCAGAAATCTGTAGACCTGTAGGGAGACCAGTGAATACAGAAATTTCCTACAAGTGTCTCAGCAGAGGCTGACAGATTCTTCTTACACTGCCAAGCCCACTGCCTTTTACCATTTATAGGATTCTCACCATTTAAAATACTACAATAAACACACCGGAGTCCTCTAATGAGCCAACATAGAAAATAATGGCTCATCTAATGGAAGAGCGTTGCTCAGTAGCTAGAAGAGTACAAATAGAAGAATCAGAACACATACCTGGTGAAATCTGAACTGCTGGAAGAGACAGATAAGTATTTGAATAAAAGAAGAGCTTCCAAAGATATTTAAATGTCACACCAAAAAAGCTTTCTGAAGCTAAAAAAATATATACTTTTAAACTAAAAAATTCAATAAATGAATTAAAGTAGGGCATATCTCTAAAACTCCTGTTATAGCTTAGAAGATAAAGTTCAACAAAAACTCAAAACGCAGAGCCAAAATACTCAAAGAGATGGAAACCATGAGAGAAAGGATAAGAGACCTGGAGGACAGATCCAGGAAACTTAACATGTTTGTAATGAGAATTTCAAAACCAGAAAAAGGAAAGTTTAAGGTTAAACTCACTAAACAGTTGGGGCAGTAATAAGTAATGGAAGAAAGACTCCCTGAACTGAAGAAGAAAAAATAATAATAATAGCAGATAATACTTGTGTACTTTCTATATGCTAACACACTGTTCTAATCACTTTATAAATGCTAATTCATTTAATCCTCACAAGACTCTATGTGATACTACTATTATTTTCATTTTGCAAATGAGAAACTGAGACACAAAGATGTTAGATATCTTGCCCGAAGTTTCCAAGCCAGTACATGGTGGAGCCATAATTAGAACCCAGGCAATCAGACTTACCACGTTTCAGGCTGAATACAAAAGACAAGACAGATATGTAAGTATATTATGGTAATGTTCCTAAACTTAAAAGATTAAAGAGAAAAATACTGCTAGCATCCAAACAGAAGGAATAAGGTAGCTACAGCGGAAAAGAAAAACCAGACTGGCATCGGACTGCTCATACATAACACTGGAAGTTAAAAGACGAAGGAATTGCATCTACAGACCTCTGAGAGAAAAGGACTACACCTCTAGAATCTGATACCCCGCCAAGACATCGTATCTCTGCCAGGATAAAAGGGAGACATCTGAGGACACATAGGAACTCAAAAGGTATATGATTCAAGTACCACAGCTGAGGAAAACACCTAAGAAAAGACTTTAACCAAGCAACAAATAAGCCAGAGTACAGTAGAGATCTTAAATGGGGAAAGATGAAGAGAACAAAAGTGGTGAGAAACAATGCACTTTGCAATATATCTTTGTGTGCATATACAAAAATGTGGATGTGTTTCACACAATTAAGTCTTAATTAAGGATAATATAAAGTAAGCGCTAAATAAGAACTTCTGAAACAGAAGCTATACGCTTTAAGGGAAATTCTGGCATAGAATAAACCATCTGGTTCAATCCAGTAGTTGGGGGTTGAGGGAGGTAGAAGGATAAAAATATTTCAAAGGCCTCATTGTAGAGAGGAGTAAAGGTGGGGAATGGAAAAGAAAAAAGTACTCTGGAAGTCTCATGACTGGGTAGACGGGGAGGTTGTCGAATATAAGAATGTCTTGGTGGTAAAAACAGTGTGTCTTGGCAGAGAACAGAGTTGATATCTTGTTTTAAAGTCAAAGTAGGGTGATAGGTGTTTAAGAGAGCTGGAAAAAGGAAACATTACTGGAACAGAAAAATGAAGTAAAACCTCCAACTTCCGGGAAAGCAATGGAATGAACTGCAAGTAACCTAATCAAACTAGCAAAAATAAAGATTAAACAGTGTAAGAAGTAACAGTAAAATAGGAAGAACACCATCAAGGGTATCTGTCATAAAACACTGAATTCTTTCATTGAAAGAAACTATCAGTGGGATAAAAACAGAGCTGTATAGTGTGTTTGTAAGAAACACACTAAAAGTGATACATGTTGAAAATAAAGAAATATTAGGCAGATGCAAACAAAAAGAAAGGAGTGAAAATATTAATAAAAGACACAGTGAAATTTAAGTTTAAACACTAATCAGGATAAAGAGGACTTGTGTAATAAAAACGCACAATTCATGATGAAGTATTAACAGTCATAAACATGTATATTATCAAGTCACATAGCAGCTGAATGATGCAATAACCAAAAAAAATGTAAAAACTTAAAAAATAAAATAACTGTATGAAATTTCAAAATACCTTTTCAAAACTGAACAGATTTGTAGAGAAAATGGTAAGTGAATATACAGAAGACATCCCTTGACTGGAAAACGTAATTATTTTCTTAAGTTCACAGAACATTTTCAAAACTTCATCAAGATTCTGATCGTAGAATAAACAGATTTTAAGTAGAGTTTTACATTTTCTGAATGTGACTCAAAATAATAATACTAATAAAATGTAGCAATCTTTTGACTCAGCACTTCCATAGCCAAAATACTCTCAGAAGTTCAACAATATACAGACTTGTCTATCACTGCAGCAGTTTGTAAGCGTAACTGGGGGAAAAAAAAAAGAAGAAGAAACCAGATGTCATCAGTCTGAGACCGGGTAAGTTAATTACGGAAAGGGTGTTGCTATTAACAACAATGAAAACATTTTCCTTACTTGAATTTCAGCGAGAGACGCCATTGCCCACGCTATGGTTGATCGCAGTCCTGCTGTCTGGATGTAAGCTCTGTTGGCTAAAGGAACCCTACAAAGCAAAGAACCTGATTATATAGCAAATGTTGTTGTTAGCTGCCGTGGAGTCACCTCTGACTCATGGCGACCTTATATATAACAGAATGAGAACACTACCAGTTCCTGCACCATCTTCACAGTCTTTGGTATGTTTGAGCCCACTACTGCAGCCACTGTCTCACTCAGTATGCTAAATATTGCTGTATGTAAAAGAAGAACATGATATAAATGATTAACCCATCCATCCCTGTGAATCATTTTAACATATTCATCAACACAGAGTATTCTCTAAGTTAGAGAATATTTTAACCTTATTACAAAAATACCTTGTCTAACCGGCCAGTACGGTGCTTCAGAAAGGGAAAACTTTTTAGACAATTGAAATTTAAACTCTTAAGTGTCTGATTTACAAAAATTTAATCATCTATGAGGGAAATCTTTCTAGAGTGTTTAAATACTTTCCTGTCTTATCATATAGAATAGACCTATTCCTGCTGATGTGGAGTTATCAAGAACATAGTATATTGTGACACGGGTGTAATATAGAAAGTGGGACTGAATGGATACTAACACTTGAAATCTGAATTCTGTAAGTACCTTTTGTAAACCTGCTTTTTGCTCATGTGCATCTTTTTCAAAAGATGAAATAAAGCAGGAAACTGCACTGTCTAAAACAAATTATTGAATTCAGGGCTGAAGCAGACATCTCCAAATGATTCACTGCTCTACATTATTTATCATTTCATACTTTATCCTCCACCTCATCATCGCTACTATCAGTGTTTCTAGATTTGTTAGACATATGCAAAATATCATCTATTATTATTCCTATCTTTCTAATGCAATGAACAAGCAGCATCTCCTAGGAGATTTCAAAGTTTTTTAATTTTTAATTTTATTTCACTTGTACAATTTGTTGGTAAGATACGGAAAACATGATTTCAATAATTTGTGGTAGGCTATCCTGGGTAGGCTTATTCCAAAACCACTAACATTACACAAAGCCAGACTGCTCTCCAAACGCTCCTTAAAGACTTTCAACAGAATTCCAGGCATACGAACATTAAGTATTTCTTTCTTTCACTATTTTGTTTCTCATCTTTCTTTGACTTTATTCTCCATTATCCTGTTTTTGGTATATTTATTGCCAAGTCCCCAAAAATCTTACAATCAGATGATGTACCCCTTTCGTATAAAATAGTATAACTGCATATTTACTGTTATAACAAAGAAGCTCTACATGATAAACCCTTGGAAATTTCACTTTTAATAAAATTTCTTTAGGAAATAACAATCCACACTATAATTCATACTGTACTCATAGACTTGTAATCAGACAAGTAAACTACAGGTGGAAAGACTATAAAATATTTTGGTCAATGCATCGTGCTTGCACAGGGTAAGCTCTGCAATTGTCTTGCTACAAAACACACTAGTTAAAACCAGAATTGTGAAATTATTTTTTATTCCAGGTATCAAAAAAAAAACAAAAAACAAAAGTAGACTCACTAATGAAAAGAAAATAGTCTTTGTCCATATACATTACAAAGTGCTTTTGTAAGTAGCAGTGGTTTAGGTGGAACCTTTGAAAGTTTTGACAATTATGTATATATTTTTACTAACAAGACTTTTTATTTTATGGGGCCAACCACATTACTATGTGACAAAAGTGAACGTCTTCTTATTTTGCTTAAACCTGGGCAAAACTGATCTGCCGTAACTTCAACAAAGGAGCCCCATTATATCAGTATAACAAAACTATTCAGGGGACAGGCTATGTTCAGAAATAAACTCCTTGAAATTAAAAATAATTCTCTACTCTCAAAGAATCTGGTTATTGTTTTTAATCAGATTTTAGCTGGCCTTTACATAGTACAAAAATACATGTGACTTTGATCCTCTTCTTACATATGCATTTCTTCTTTATTCTCTTATACACAATCTATCATCAAGCTAAAGACACCCTACTCTAGATCGCTAGCCTAGACTTGTCACCTGAACTCCAGATTTTCTTGGACGTTTTTCACCTGAAGATTACCAAGGTACTGCAAATTCAACAAGTATAAACTGAATACACTCTCCTTTTCCTGTTTTTCGTACCTCGGCATATTTCTTCTTTATTTTCTTATGTGTCTCGTACCATCAATACACTGGATATCCTTACGTACATGTCCAGGTTACGCTTGTCACGTCAACTCCAGATCTATCTCTTTAAATATCTACTTGGACTTTTTTCACTGAATACACTGTTTTTTTACGCCTGGATTTTGTATTTCAGTGACTGACAGCAGTATCTATAGTTGCCCAAATCAGAAATCTGGAAGTTATTCCACTCGTTAATTATTTCTTGAATTCATGGCCTCCTTTTTGTTACCCCACGTTTTGTCTCAGTTTAGTTCCTCATTAGGAGCCCTGGTAGCACGGTGGTTAAGTGCTTTGCTGCTAACCAAAAGGTCAGGAGTTCGAACCAACCAGCTGCTCTGTGGGAGAAAAACGTGGTAGTCTTCTACCATAAAGATTACAGCTTTGGAAACCCTATGGGGCAGTTCTACCCTATCCTATAGGGTTGCTAGGAGTCAGAAATGACTTGATGGCCGTGGGTTTGGTTTTTGGTTTTAGTTCCTCATCATTCATTGCCTAGACTATGATAAGATTCAACCTATCTGCCTCTCTTTTTATGGTCCTCCATTTTTTTTTTTTAATATAACCTTCTTGGTTACTTTTCAAAATCACAAATTTGATCATACCACTCTTCCCTTAAAATTCTTATTGCTTGTAAAGTAAAATCCAAGTTGTTTAAGACAGCTTACGAGACATTTGTTCAGTCTCATCATCTTCCATTCTGTCTACATATGCCCTGGCCCATCTGTACTAAACTACTTGCCATTCTCCCACACAAATCAAGCTTCCTCATACCTCTGTGCCTTTACACATGCCATTGCTTGGCCTGGAACATCTTCTTTTCTTGTCTATTTGGCCAACCCTTACTAATTATCCTTCAAGTCTCCACTTCGGCAATACTTCTGTATATATAGCCTTTTGATCACCCATCCTCCATCAGAGTTAGATCCTCTCTCCTAACTCTAGTAGAGCATTTATCACATTTGTTCCACCACTATACTGAATTCACTGAACTCAATAACCATCTTATTCATCTTAGAACTTTGCAAATTTAGAACAATGCTTACCATATAGTAAGTACTCAATAGATGTTTCACTGAAATTAATTAAAAAATAATAATCTTATTTACTCTAGTAAATGCTTCTTCCCTTCCTTCCCTCGTTGCTAAACTGTTTAAAAAATGTAACAGTTGAAACTTATTCAGCACTTACTGTATCCTAAAAACAGTGTCAAGGATTTTCAAATGAGCTTCACTACAAAGCACTGCTTGCTGAAAAGTGAAGAGGACTGGAAGCACTTACTGATGAAGATCAAAGACCACACAGCCTTCAATATGGATTACACCTCAACATAAAGAAAACAAAAATCCTCACAACTGGACCAATAAGCATCATCATGATAAACGGAGAAAAGACTGAAGCTGACAAGGATTTCATTTCACTTGGATCTACAATCAACACCCATGGAAGCAGCAATCAAATCAAACAATGTATTCCACTGGGCAAATCTACTGCAAAAAAACCTCTTCAAAGTGTTAAAAAGCAAAGATGTCACTTTGAGGACTAAGGTGCGTCTGACTCAAGCCATGGTATTTTTAATCACCTCACATGCATAAGAAAGCTAGACAATGAATACGAAAGACCAAAGAAGATTCGACACCTTTGAATTATGACGCTGGCAAGGAATATCGAATATGCCATGGACTGCCAAAAGAACAAACAAATCTGTCTTGGAAGAAGTACAGTGAGAGTGCTCCTTGGAAGCGGGGATGGCAAGACTTCGTCTCACATACTTTGTTATCAGGAGGAACTAGTCCCTGGAGAAGGACATCACGCTTGGTAACGCAGAGGGTCAGTGAAAAAGAGGAAGACCCTCAACAAGATGGACTGACACAGCGGCTGCAACAATGCGCTCAAACATAGCAATGATTGTGAGGGTGGTGCAGGACTGGACAGTGTTTCGTTCTGTTGTACATGGGGTCACTATAAGTTGGAAGTGACTTGATGGCACCTAACAACAACAACAAAGCACTAAAGTATGTACAATTATTCTTCTGATTTTACAGCAGAGGACTCTGACACTTTGCCCAAAGTTGAACAGTTAATTTGTGGAGAAGGCAGAATTCAAATCCATGGTTCTTATCCACTATGCTATACTGTATTAGGTGATGTGTACAGTGTGGCACAGCGGTATACAGTTAAAGCCCTGTGTGGCTACTGACATCCCAAGGGTTCTTTTCTGCAAAGAAAGCAGAGCTCTATTATGACCAATGTCTTTAGGAACTACTAAGACAAAAATTTTTATGTGGTTCTCATACTTCACGGTTGCTCTATCCTCTGTTTCATCACTTCGGACTTTTTACTACCATCAAGGTCACAGGCTGCAGTCTCTGAGCTCCACTGTCACTGCCATGTGCTGTTTAATTCCCCCTCTCCTTCATACATCAGCAAACTGTTCTTTTTAGTCACATGAATCATAGAGACCACGTCCTTTCCTTGCTGAGGTAGTCTAACTAATCACAGAACATCTAATGTAATCTCATTTTCAACTATTGCTCATTCAGGGGCTGAGTCTTACTTTTCAGACACACACTTTTCATTTGCAAACTTCTAGGTACATTAGCAGTTATTATTCGAGATGCCATAAGCAGGGCTTCTTGAGTGTTTCTAGCAAATATTCAAATAATAAGATTTAATGCCTTTTAAAATCATTCATATAAAGTTCATACATATCTGTTAATAATAAAAGAGCATAAAATTTAGCATATTTATATACAATTAAACACTTGTCCTTTATTTGTTGCTAAGAATCTCAATACATCAGTGTTGTACTCAGTCAGCACTGCTGGAGATGAGATGTTCCTCATAAGTCAACCTTCAAGATACTTAAGCTCACCCTTTCAGGGGCCTAAGATGAAAAAATGTTTACTTAAAGAATTATTCAAAAAATATATTTCACACTTTGCTGTTCTGATATTCTTATCCTTGTCTTGGTGACCAGCAGTAATTACACTGGGTTGAAATGTGGCCATCTTTTGGTTCTCCCCACCCTTTCTGTAAGCTATTAGTTCTGTGGTCATTGTACCTGATTTTGTCAGCACCTGTCTCACCCACTGCTTTTTACTTGCTACATTTAAACTTTTATGGAATTAAAAAAAGTCAGATAGGAGCAATTGTTCAAATTAAAGTCAATCTATTTTACAAATACTTTGCAGGGGTTAGGGCCTGGTGCTCCACAGGCAGTAGAGTAGGGTAGCCTGGAAAACTCTTAGGTGTAGGTGTAAGAGTGGGTTAGGTTTGGTCTGGGAGAACTTGGAAAGCATTGAGGTATGTGGGGGCCCAGGGAAACCAATATGACATCGAGGTATGTGATGATCTCACAGGTGGTAGGGTGATGAGAAATTTTATTTAGCTCATGATCTTTGTAATCTAGAGGCTGGTGGGGCCTACCTCATGACTAGCACACAGCAAGAACTCAAATAATTCAACATTTATTGAATATTTATAATGTTCTCAACACTGTGCTTGTCAACTGCTATAGCTCCTCACCAGATGACAGCTATTACAATACCCTTAAGGCAGTTTTTTTTTTTTTTTTTTTTTTACATCCTGGTTCTAGCTTGCAGATGCATATGTATGAGCTAGGGCAAATGGAGTATTCCTGAGGCCTTAAACACATAGAACTTTATGATCTTCAAAAAAATTCTATTACTAAAACCATCTAGAAAAAGGGTATCTAAACCACTTTGCTTTATGTACACAGGGCTACACATATAAAATCTTTTGTAGATGCCCACAGTATTTACATATTCCCAAGAAACTGAAAATCACTATTTTGATCCAATCAGCTTTTTCCCAAAGTACTTAGAAAAGGATCTGTAACATGATAAAGATTCAATAAATACTTTTAAATAGAGAAATGTACCACTTGTACTTATTATTATATAGTACCCTGCTTGATTAGGGAGGTACTTGAAGATTGAAAAAAACTGGCAATAATCTCCCACACTAAAAGAATTATGGACAATACACAAGGTAAATTTTAAAAATTATACTGTATTTTCCATTTTTTAATTAAAACTCCAAGATGCCAACAGACTAAAATTTTTAGCTTAAATACAGCCTATGAAAATCATAATAATAGAAATAATATAATGATAGAATTAGATATAATTGTTAGTATTAATCACGTAATCAGTGTATTACTATGATCAAACCTTTTACAGCTCAAAATGGTCAGATTAAATCATATCCACCAAACGCCATGACAACATTTTATTAGCTCAAAAAAGAACTCAAATCCTATGCCTTTATCCCCCTCTGTTATATCAACGCCTCATACTATAAACAAAAACTATAAAGTTCTTCATTTTATAAAATCTCCTAAGGGACCATCTCAAAGCATAGAATACAAGTATTTACCTGAAAACAGGAATCCCTACCACCGAGTAAATGTCATTTAGATGTATAAAAATCTGAAAGAACAAAGACAGACATTAGAAAGGAACAAGAAATTGCATTACCAAACTATTTGAAAACTTCAATTTTGAACCTATACACACTATATTTTAATAACAAATTCCAAGGTCTTATTTACCATATCTGGAACACTGAAAGTAAGTTTTTGTTTCTTCAGCAGAGACAAACTAAATTTTAAGTACATTTCAGAGAAAAATTCTGAGGTCAATGTGGGTATACAACATGAAGAATTACGTTATGAAGAACTCAAGATCAACTTTCTCACCAGAAAGTCTCTGAATTATTGTAAACGAATCACTTTCCAGCATTTGTGCTAAAGGTTTCCTAAATCCACCCAAATTCTAAACCATGGTGGTATAGTGGTTAAGAGGTACGGCTGTTAACCAAAAGGCTGGCCGTTCAAATCCACCAGGTGCTCCTTGGAAACACAATGGGGCAGTTCTCCTCTGTCCTATAGGGTCACTACGAGTCAGAATCGACTTGATGGTAACGGGTTTTTTTTAATAAGATTCTACGTCACACAGAGCCTTCACAGTCTACACACACTCACGGGGTAATAGAAAGCTTTCTTCAAGCCACATATAGAGAAGCAAAGGTGCCCGCTATTCTCTCTCTACAGTCTACAAGTGGGTTTCTTCCTCTCTTTATTTTTTCTTCTGTTAGGCCATGAAGAAAATTTAAATGCCTCAAGTTATAACCAGTAGCCTATATAAGTTTTAAAAATAAGAATCTTTCTTACTTTTGTAGTCTGATGAGGTTTATGGAATATTCTAACAATGTTGTTTTAGTCCTAAAGAACATTTTGATCCCTGATACTTTCACCCCAAGGATATTTTTAACAGAAGAATTTTAATCAGAATTATGCTAATGTTGATCAATTTTCATCAAGAAAAAAATCATCTGAGGTGAACTCCTATTAGTCAATTTAATTCTTCGATCAAGTGATACATCACAGCTAATCTTTTTTTTTTATATGATTCATTTTAGCAAATTTATTGGTATTTTAATCCTTTCCTTTTACAATTTACACTGAAGATTTGATACACTGATCTTGTTTTATATATTGAATGTTATTAACAATAGCTTCTCCCACAATAAAATTTCTTTGTGCCCACATTTTTCCATCAATTTCCCAGAACAAAATTTAACATTTGATTCTTCTGTCAATTTTTAGCCACAAATTTTACCAGGTGTTATTTTAGTGATACGAATTTTGTTTTGATTATTGCTACCAATAATAACTATTACTAATTGCAGTAAATGGCTGATAGAAATTAGTTACACTTCTTCATTTATGAGCTAATCTATGAAAAAATTCTGAGTAATCGTGAGTGAGAGAGAGAGTCAGGGGGAGACAGAGAGAAGGAAATCAGGAGGGAGAAGATATGAGAACTAGAAAGGGGGAGATAAGAGGAAAACATCTTCCAACAAAACATTCTTGGGTCAAAACAGGGCTTCCAACTGGCTCGAACCCCTGCTGAGAACTTGCATTTCTAATAAGTTCCCAGGAAGTCATACGTAAGAATCACCTGGGGATCTTGTTAGAATGTAGATTCTGATTCAGTATATCTGGGAGTAGAAATCCAAATTCTCAGCAGAGGTTCAAACCAGAATGAACTAGTTCAAAGTCCTGGGTCAAAATACTTTGAAAAAACTGAAGGCTGTTAACACCGGAAGTGGAAGACAGGAAGGACAAGGTAATGGATCAGGCTTGCTTTCATAAATCTTTGTAATGTATTGTTTCACTTGATACCATAGACGTGTATTATTTTTTTAAAACCGAAAAATGAAAAAACTAAAACTTAAACAACACAAAATGTTCTGATTTATTTGGCCAGCTATTAATCTATTTAAAGGTAGACAACAAGTAATAATTTTATGAATTAATGAATCATAAAAATGACTCAATATCTGTCAAATTTATGAGATAGTTTTTAAAAAATAGAGTATTTTTATAACTAGTATTTTTCTCCACGTTTTTGACTTTGATGCCATTATGAAAGTAGTGTAAACTCATTAAAATAATCTGGAAAATAGAGAAAAAGAAAAAAACCCATAATCCCACAACCCCAACAAAGCCACTATTAACAACTTATTGAATTTTGTGTAGGCCTTTCTTAATATGGATGGTACAGACTATGATGGATTATCGAGATTGTAGAGACTGTCATCTTTACAATCTTACAATAAATGTTTTCCTTTTCTTCAACTGTGACTAAACAGCTCTACTTCAAAAAGCCCTACTTGGATAAGACATTTTCATTGTGAAGATTATCTGCCAAAACTATCTTCACTATTCTGCTGCTAGAGAGAAAACAGACTTTTGGATTAATGTACAATAAGAAGACCTGACACCACTGACACCGTCTTTAAAGAATACGACAATATACTCTGTAATTAAATGAAATAAAACATTCATTACCTCTAAATTTGGATTCCTCAAATCTGCTTTCCATCCAAATTGTTTCATAAGAGCAATTCCAATGATTCTTCCTACTTCCTGGAAAAGTAGCAAGTAATAGAAAAGATAAAAATACTAAAAATGAAAATGTTAAGATTACAAATAAGCAAAAATTAATAAAGCCTGTAGGAAGGCAAGTCAGGCTATCTGATGGTAATTTAGGGTTGCAATATTACACTAAAGCATTTTCCATTGAAGGCAATAAGGCTGCATTTTATCCCCTCCAAGCTTCAAACACATCCCATGGCATTAGTATCTATTCATCTGTAATCTCTATTTTAGTAAATTTAGTTACATGAAATAACCAAATCATGACCTGGGTTTTAAGAAATGGATGCAGGCTTAAAGAAGTGTTTGAGCTATCACAATCTTACATGTTTAAAAATAACCAGATCAGCAGCATTATAGTCAAACTTTAGGGTCTTTCTGATTTCAAGGATGGTTAAAGGACTCTTTATGCCCTTTGCATCACGGAGCTTTGTGAAGGGCTAACTAAAAAGGTTTCCCATGTAAACTTTTTGTGGTGCTTGCTCTCCCTTAGATTCTTCAGGCCTTGGGTTATTTGTATATTTGTAGTCCTGGGTCCCCATGACAGTCACACATACAGGGCCTGGTGCAGTGTAGCCATTCAATAAACACACAATTGAACTGAACAGAAACTCTAAGAAGCTTAACCAAAAAAAAAAAAAAAAAAAAA